CACCTTCTGTTTGTCTATATATATTTGCCTTGGAATTTTAAGATAGTAGATGTGAGACAGCGTTAATGAACTGCTAAAATAATTTCCTCAATGAGTAGCTCTGTCCTATGCCTAAGTTCAGCATGAGCAATCACTTCTCTTTTAACTGCTTCTAAGGTCATACTGATCGGTATATTAGTATAAAGACTAGTTATATCAAAACTAACCTCTGTTTTATCATTCTCTAGTTGAATGTCATTTAGTTAATTTTTTCATTTCATATGAACGATTTCTAATGGGGCATAATATTAGAGCTAAGTGTTTTGATAATTCATTCCTGAAATCTAATGTTGGTCCTATGGGGTAACCTGGCTTATTTATTTTAATAATACCACATATTAATCATTCTAGCACCAGTCAGAATTAACAAAATCAAGGGCAAAATATGCACACACATGTGTTACTAATTAATTGTTGGTATTGTAGATACAGGAAGATGAGAAATCTGAAATAATGAACACGTATATATATATATATATATATATACGAATGTTTAATTGAATGAGTCACCTCTTAGGATGGATGTGTCAACAAATGTGCTTTGTTTGTCACACCAGAAACCTGGAAAGGAAGGTGAAATTGACTTTTTATAATTAGATTATTATTATTATTATTACTATATTATTCATGGCTTTACAATAAATAGATTGGTAGCCAACTCTTTATTGTCTCCTCTGAAGGATTCATTTCATTCCTGTCATTACTGTTGTAATTAATTCATTAGTACTCTTGCCTAAGGCGAAATTCTTCTTAGCATTCAAGCGCACACACACACGGACACACACACACACACGGACACAGATACGCACGCATGAATCCAGCTGCTCAAAACGTATTACTGTCTACCTTCAAACTAATTATCATTCTATATACAATGCGCGCTATGAGTAACAAAGAAGGCCTAATAGGTAGAGAGATACCACACAGAGGAAAAATGAAAGTGATTAAATTTTTACTTCTCATGACATCTTGTTACTAATATAATTAAGTAGTATCCTTTGACAAATATATGAATTAATCATAATTAGCCCCCCAAAAGTTAATTAATATCTTCAACAACAAAAACAGCGTAAAATTAATCAACCGAAATATTTTAAACATTATATTTCATAAAATAATAATAACTTATAAGGAAATATACCCATCATCTTCCCCCGACTGACACACACACACACACACACACAGAAATGCACACTTGTCAACAAACGCTAAATTACATCCAAAGCCAAGAAGTTTGAACCCATAAGGGTAAATTATTATGCTTATTATTTGTTTCTATACTAATTTCCCGTTTCCCGTTGATCGATAATGATAGACTGAAATGCTTCACTTCTGTCGACATGTAGGCTTCTAGTAAAGAGTTTCAGCCTTAGTGGAAATATCATCATAATCACCACTTACTGGGAATGCAGGTGCATTCAGTTGACAAGTTCCGAATAGGTCGAAATGCACATCCTGACTGGATTCCACTGCTAGTCACTATCAACTAAAATATGAATGTTGTCATTATTATTTGTTCCTTGAAGGGCTTCAGAGACATATCTCCACTCCATTCAGTTCTCTGTCATCATGACTATTCAAAAGCTTTCATTTAAGTGAAGGCATTTCATTAAAAAGTTGTACTATTTTGACACAGACATTTCTGTCTTATACTTAGCTAACGATGTCTTTAGATATATTGACAACTATCATGAAGTAAACTTAATTTTATTTTCTTAGTGAAGTTCATTTGACGTCAATTTGAAATTATACTGTTATGTCATCAGAAGCCATCGATCTGGAATAGATTCCTCATTCATCAAGCTATAAGCTATACATAATCCAGGGAGGGGGCTGGTAATGACACCAAGTAATACATAAACCGAGAGAGTTACAACATAGAACTCAGCAAAGAAGTGGAACATTTCATGTCGTCACCTTCCACATAACACACAAAAGTAGACAAAAGAGCGGGGGTGGTAAAAGAGATTCAACAAACTATAATACATACAAAAACATAAAACAGAAAGAATTGTAAGCAACTTGGACATACATGATCGTCTAGTGGATATAGGAGAATGCAAAGAGTGAATGCGTTTCAGTCATTGATAGATTGAGTGGGTTTCGAATACACGACTCACTGGTTGTTAAGTCAACTCCTTAACCCAGTGAGCCACTAGTACATTGAGTGGGAGATGAGTATTTTGCATATCTATGTAATCCGTTCATCTATCCCTTTCTTAGGCATTAAGCATAACCACCACCCTCTGTCTCTTCACATATAAATAACTTTTTAAACAGTGCGGTAACGATGAGATTTAAATGAAGGCATGGGTTTATATATATATATATATATATATATATATATATATATATATTGTTCTACACTCATTTATAGAAAGTTATCAAGATTATGTAAGTTAATACAAGAGAAATTAACAATATCATAGCCTTTTTGGCAAAGGATAGGTACAGTTAATACTGAACAATTCAGACTCTGACAGGGAGTAATTCAAGCTATAAATCAATCGGTTAGAAGTCGATGGATTCCAGTCATTGTGATGTACTCCACCATCATTAAACTTTAACTATCAAGAAAGGAAAGTGTTAATTCTTAATCCTTTGTACCTAGGCAGTAAAATGGTAGAATGTTCACAAGCCATGTAGGAGATCCAGGTCCAGTTCCCCGCAGACGCATTTCTGAATCTCTTCTAGCCGGTATTTAAGACTGGAGAAGGCGGACGGTTGGGTATGAGGCATAAAACCTCATAAGGCGATAACACAACATCATCTCTATTGAAATTCCAAATTTTTAACTCTTATGTTACATTTAGAGTGCAAGGGATAGAAAAGAAAATTCCTTAATCCCAATTTCTTCTTAGCCAAATTTAAGTTATAATTAAATCATTTTTTTTCAACATCTTTAAGACACATTCTCTTCTACTGTTTGGCGACCAACAATATGAAACTGATTCCGTTTTACACCTTCATCCGTTACCCGGGCAACCATATTATCAATATTTGGCTACGATATAAATTTAAGAAATTTTCGTAGAAGTCACAAATGTATATTTATAACTTATACACTTTTATCCAATACTTAACAGTGTCTTCTAATAATCTCTGCAGTACATCAAATCTACTCTATTTTCAGTTCCTTTAAATGTTCACCTTCTTCTTTCACTCATATTCAGTTTATTCATAGGGATATATAAACACCTTTTCAACGTATCATTTCATTAAAAGCCGTGGCTCATTGGTCTAGCCACCAAACATCCATCCATGGGGGCACAGGTTCGAACCCCACCTTCACCTACTAAGTCTTGGAGGACGAGGTAGTAGTATCACAAGCCCTCACATAATAGGTGTGACTCATTGCCGATAACAAGTGGTTGTCTGGAAACATTTCATGTGATGAATGAAATGAAGGAAAAACACAGCAGAGGGGATTTCAGTATTTCAAATCAAATTAAACATTACTTTTTTTTATTTTCTAGGGAGTGAGATCCATTTCAACGTAGATTTCATTGTGAACTGAGATCACTTAAAGAATCTTTAAAAGACGAAGAAGCACTAGACAGCTGATTCACTCTACTTTGGAACGGCTGACCATAATTCACTGGTGGTCCACAAGGGATCGAATCCAGCACCTTAAGGATACAACATGCACTGCTGAACTGAACAGTCATAAACTGGGACGAAACAACTGTCTACTGATCTACAGTTTTCAAAGACTCTCTAGGTGAGGTATGTTCGTGACGAACTATACATTCATACTACTATTATTATTATTAAATAAAATTAAATTGAATCACGGAGTGGAATCATTTCAATAAACTCACAAATTACTTATTAGAAGATGGAATAAACTGGATTCGACTTGGAGAGTATGAAGAAAACACCCATTTAGAATGGCAACTGTCTACTTGTATTGGCATTTAACTATTAACACTGATATGCACATTTAGGGGAATTATGTATAGCAAAAATTGAAATCGTCATTTGCACAGATCTTCCGTGTTGTACTATCCCTGTTATTCGTGTTGTGTTTCTCTGCCTTCTTTTTATGTCTCCCATGTTTTGCAACAATACTGGGTCATTTTCTCTCTTTGACATCAAATCTATCTCTCCGGTATTTGATATATTTTGCTGACGCATATCGCTTTATATACTACTGACAAATCCAGTCAGTAGTACACTCAACAACACTACTGCTGTAATTACTAGAAGTTATTTATCCAAGTGAATCAAACGCACTTTTTTATACAGCGAGCTTACACCAAGTATTTTGTAGTGCATGAGGAATAAACTACCGCTTATATACACCTCTACATGTGAACCTACTCATTCACATACTCATGTGGGAATAATAACACTGGATGTTGTAAGCGTATTCATAGCATACTAATAGCTGAATACTATTCGGTTTGGTTGATGTTAAAATTATCTTTATTGTTATAACTAAGCAGCTTTTTAGTGCCAATTAATGCTTTCTTCCACAATATAAATATATGACTACAGAGCCTGAAAATGAACTTGTCATAAAGGAATATTTCTTCACTGAAGAAAAGTGGTGCTTCTTTTGTTTATTAAGCATTAACCTGGTGGATGATGCTATTTACATGGGTGATATAGTAATAGAACTCTTGTTAGTCACGTGGGGAGATCTGGTTCCCACTCCCGGTCGACGCATTCTTAAAGCTCGCCTCATTTACCAACTGGTTATAGAGACTAGAAAAGAGACGAAGTCAGGCATGAGACTGGCAATCTCATTCGGTAAATGAATAATACTATCACCATTGAAATGGAGAACCCAAGGAATGAAAAAATTAGAGTGTGTAAGCAACATAAATACAGCTCATGACCTCATAAGATGATGTAAGTTTTAGAGGATCTATTCATAAAGGACTAAACAAATTCACAACACTAATTACACAATAAATAAACCAATAAAAAAAGGAAGCAAACAATAAAACACTCACCTAAATTTTGTGCCATTTCATCCATAGCTAAACTTAGCGGATACCAGGCAGCAGCTGCGGCGACAGCAGCAGCCAATGTAGTCGGTGATGTTGATGCCATTAAATTAGCCGTCTGAGATGTTGACGAGGATAATGGTGAGGTTGATAACAGTGACGAATTATTATTATTTGTTGTTGTTGTAGTCGGCGATAATGTTGATGATGACGGGAATACTGTTTGTTTTTCTGAATTATTAAGTGAATGTATTAAATTTGGTATATTATTCATAAATTGATGAATCATTGGTGAGGTATTAATTGAATTTGTAGTCGTTACTATATCAATAGGATCAATAGACGCTTTGGCTTTAGTCTCTGTTGTTGCTAATACTAACGATGATGGAATCGTCGTAGATGTTTTACCGCCTTCTTGTTGAAATGAATCCTCTCCAGGTGTATATAATGAATGATGACTAGTCAAATGTTTGTGTTTTTGTAGTTGATCGGGATGTTGACGATGGTATTGATGAAGTTCAGATTGATTATGTGTATACCATTGAGATCGAATGGATTCCATACTATATTAATGAACTAACATGTTACATAATTCCAAAGGGATATATGTATATCACCTTATGAATATTTCTTTCTTTTCTTGGTTAATAATCAGGAGAAATACACAAAATGTATATAGATCCACGTTTTTCTTCCCTCACTGTCGTGTTCTTCTCTCCAGTACTTATTTAATTTGTTTATCTATTGATATATATATAGAGAGAGATGTTATGATGCCAACTGATAAATAGATTTTTTTAAACCCGCAAATCAACTGCTTCGATATATATATTTATATTTTTAAAACTGTTCTCCAATTAACAATATGTTAATTATATATCAAATTTTCGAGAATATTGTGAACAAAATGTGTTGGTTGGGTGCGTCTGTATTTGCGTGTGTGTATAGAGGAGGGAGAGAGGAAGGGTAGACATTTTCTATGTGTGTGTGTATGTGTGTGGAAATTAAGTGTTTATTTATTTGTCATGTCTGTGTGTCACAGTGTTTTTACATTTATATGTAGGTTTGTGTGTGTGCGTGTGAATGCGTGCAATAACAATAATACTATTAGTGCTGTAGTAGTTTAAATAATGATATCACTCACATAGCATATCTCTGATGTTGACAGGAGTAATGATAATTTAATTTGATGATACACTCACACATATATGTATGCACACACACACCCACGCACATATACAAATTGTTCATGAACAAAGGAAGTTAAACTTTCGAAAGCGTGAAACAATCTAATAAGTAACCTCAAAATTAATTAATGATACGGTGAGAGAGAGAGAGAGAAAGAGGGAAGCAGGGAGGGTGGGAGGGCAACAGAGGAGGAAGAGAGCGTTTTTGCTTGTTAAATTCTACTGCCTCAATCAACTCTACCTACAACACTTTTAAAAATGACGGTCTCATAATGATGATAATAATAATAACCATGTGCAGACGTGTACACCGGAGTGTGTGTGTGCGTGTGTGTGCGATTGTGTACCCAATGAGAAAATATCCAATTGATGATGATGATAAATTACTAAAAGATGAGCTGATGGATGGATTGCTGGATAGATGGAAAGATGATCTAACCAATTAAAAGACTGACTGGGAGATAAAAATTGAAATTGTAGTAAGCAAGGTGACAAAAAGAAGAAAAACGAATATGATTATTTTTGTTTTCTTATGCTCTTTTTTGTCAACAAAAAATTTCATTCTACGCATCGGAAAAATATATTTCGTTGTTTACCGCGGCGTGTGTGTGATAATTCATTCAGGCGCTCTGGCTTGTATCCGTGTGTACATGTGTGTGTGTGTACATATGCGTTCATCGAACCATTTAAGGTTGTTTGTGTGTGTATGAATGTGTCTGTATATTGCTTACCAGGAATATTATCAATTATAATTGCCAAAGAAGCATAATAATAATTATAATAATACAGTTTTAAAAATATCCGTATCCGTGTATGTGTGTTGTATTGACCTACCACAAATCGTAAAAGGCATTTATTACCTGTCCTTATATTTGTCTGTCTTGCATATATATGAAGCATAAGATTTCCACAAGGTCATTCATTATTGCGATTATTATTATTATTACTAGCATCCAATTTGATGGAATGTCAAATGATAGGTCAGAGTCAGTCAACCAATCAAATACTATTCGTTTATTTATTTACCAAAATGTAACATCTCCATCTCACTTCTTATTGGCACACAACACATATACACACACAACACACAAACGAGAATTTAATATAAGAAAATTTCCCGGCAATATTCACCAAAAAAGAAGAGAATTATTGGGAAATAAAATTTGAAAAAATAATGGTGGAATCATTGTATGACCTAAATTATCGTTAAACATATGATCTTTATCATATTCCACCACCCCAACACCACCACCACCACCCTTATTGTCTTATAGTGTTTTTCCTTTTCCACTATCGATTATTATTATCGTGTTTATTTTGTCAGGTTATTTTTCACCGGAATTGACCCTATGACCTTGTGAAGGATTCAATTTACCCTGGACAAACCAACAAATTAACCAAAATAGATGAGGGAAATAAAAGAGTGGAGTAGACGGGAAATTCATACATAAGAGGGGGATGGGATTGGATGGGATGGGATGAGTGTGGGAGAGCTGCATTACAGCAATAATTCACGATTATTTTTCAAAAATGAATGACTGTAATCTACCATATGGTAATAAATCTCATTAATTCGTGTTTATTATTGATATTAGTAGCAGTAGTAAAGTATTAGAATTTTTCGTAACTATTGATTAATGAATAATTAATAATATAATAGGCTTTTTTGGTACACTTTGGTTTTTCAGAAAAATAGGCGAAAAGATTAGTGATGTGCATTTATTTCTTTTTTGTAGGTATCAGTGTATACGCTTACTTATGTACGGTTGAATAGAATTGGAGACAAAGAAGAATTATTAATGAGTGTTTATAATGTCTAATTTTGTCTAAAAGTCTACAAAAAATAAAAGCTGGAGGTCTTGACTTTCTCTTCCTGTAATATCTGAGTTAGCCTTCACTTAACTCATTATCATCATTATTATTTTTATGAGTTGAGTACTAGACAGCTGTTTCACCAGCCTAGTTTGGGAATCATTGGCAGTACGCACCCACGACTGGGGTTCGAACCCAAAACCTTCCGGTTGCAAGGCATGCTGGCTCGTATACCATTCAGCCACTGAGACCCGATTCAACGGCCAGTCCATGAATTCTAACTTCTACCGATTCATGATTTAGCGCGACCCCAACCATTGTCGTAGATGGAACATCCATCCTCACACGTGACATCTGGATGGACCTTACTGGTCACGACTTCTCACCGGAACTCTAGGAAACCCCATGCTGTAGCAAGTCACTAGTGAGTATCAGATTAATTTTCTGTAGTTTGGTTTGTAAGGGTTAGTTATGCTTTTACGAGTTGATCACGGATTGATATCAGTTAGAGAACCATTGAAAACCGGTACTCGAGTACTGGAGAGCTGTTTAATCCTAGTCGGGAATTAGTATAAGTTAGAATTCATGAGTCATTGAATCGGGTCCCAGTGGCTGATTGGTATATAAGCTTGCCTTGTAACCGGAAGGTCGTGGGTTCGAACCCTGGCGATGGGTGCGTACTTCCGATGATTCCCAAACTAGACTGGTGGAACAACTGTCCAGTTCTCCAGTGTTCCTTTTCAATGGTTTTCTAGCTGATATCCATCCGTGATCAACTCGTTGAAACAAAACTAACCCTTACAAACCAAATGATAGAAAATATCATTATTATTCCATTTAGGTTTCAAGTGAAACATATAGTTTCAACACGACATCTCTATTTCATTATGTTCTCTACAGTTGTCTTTAGCTAGCTCCACGGTTGCCCATAAGCTTTCCATCCCTTCTCGTACGATCTCCATCGTGTTACCCTAGAACTTAAGTTCAACACATCGTTTCTTATTCGAGTCCCACTCCGAAAATGGCCTGGTGAGCAATTTCACTCAACGGTCTCCACAGGGTGTGTTCGATCGATTCTCGTTTTCTTCGGCAACAGGTTTTTGGTTGATCTTTTTCCCCAAGAGTTCCTTGTTATTAATCTGTTTTGGCCATTCGATCTTTAGTATGGATGGAAGGCGGCTGTTAATAAAAAGCTAGAGCCCGTTTGAATTTCGATAACTTTGTAGAGACAAAGTGAAATGCCACGTCCAGAAATGGAATCTTTGAATCGTTTTCGAATTCCATTCCCCAACTGCGTCTTACAAGAATTTAATAATTCCCATCCTTCGATTAAATTCACAATGGAATTAGAAAACGATTCAAAGTGAAATGCCTCAAAATGATTCAATTTCAATCTGTATTCATGAGCATTTTTGAATGTCTCATAATATTACTGCCAGATCTCTATTTGATGGGATCAATCCGTCACAGTGTGGGGTATTTTGCAAACAGAATAATATTCCTTTAAATGATATACTATTTGAAGATTCTTTAAGAGTATTTATGTATGGATGTATTCTTCAGTTTATGCAAACATATAACTATTATTATTTACCCTCATCCTTCCATTCGTCTTCTAAAAGTCAATGTCTTCAGCTTTACTAACTTTTAGAGAGTTTTACGCGGAATCAAGTTAGTCACATTACAAAATATGGTAGATTTCACTTCACTACCTTCCCGATATCAGTGTATAACAGGGCGTATTGGAAAGTAGTTGGAATAATGGGAAGAGAAAGTAGTAAGTTAGTTAGGAAATATTGTGAAGGAAACTAAGAGCTGTCTGTAAGGCGAGTGGGGGTGTTGCTAAGACGACTCGTTAATACTGTCTTGGCCAAACACTTAAAATCACTCAAGAAATTGGAGAATACTATCATTGTCAAACTACTAGAACCCTTTTTTGTACACAGTTCTCCCCTTGCATCTTATGAAGTAGGACTGAAAGGAATTCTAAAAGACCATATTATACTTTAACTCAAATGATACCTTGTTTGGTACGCATTTTTTGGTGAGATAAGCATTAGACATGGAACTAATCCCTTCTAAGCATCAAATAAACGGCACCTTTTATTATTCTGATTATTAATATATCACTGTTACAATTTCTATTAATTTCTAATTTTATATTTGTGTTTTTATCAGTATAATTATTAATATCAGTTATAGAATCATCGAAAACCAGGGGAAAGTGGACAGCTGTTTCCTGAGCCTAGTTCGGGACTCGTCACTGGTATGTACCCATTACTGGGTTTCGAACCCGAGACCATTTGGTTACAAGGCAAGCTCTCAGACCATTCAGTCATTGGGTGCGTAATGCTGATGAGTCCCAAGCTAGGCTAACGAAACAGATGTCCACTATCCCTTGGTTTTCAGGGGTTCTCTAACTTATAACAATCCGTGGGCAGACTAGAAAAACAAATCAAATCCCCACAAATCAGCTCTTAAACAATTGTTAATATCAATATCCTGGTAATTATTTTCCCCTTATTATATAATGCAAAGAGAAAATTAGATGCAGTGTTGTAATACATGCTGAGCATTCCCCATTGTATGAAGTGTACTGTTTGGAATAAAGCCAAAGTAATAGTAACGATAATAATAATAATAAACCAACTTCATTTTACTGGTAATATATGGTTGGAGGCAGTCGGACACAGGAAGCCTTGGATCCAGATCACGTGCCAGTTGGCACTCAACAGTCAGTAGGGTGCATCTACAGTTTTAAAGGAACTCATGTCCATTCTCGGATTCGAAGACGCCTCACCCAGTGCTGCCTGCAGTCAGAGACGTTACAACTGAGCTATTCAGGCTCGCGATTGACCTCCCGTAGGACTATATTGGACACTTTGATTGGACACAAGTCAGGAACTAGCGTAATATGTCTAGTCCTAACTTTGGCGTAGACTGAATTCTATCAGTCAGTCCTCCCGGTTACCTCCAACCATCTAATATCAACAATTCAAAGTCCACCGTGATGGTGAGCTACCTAGCATGGTAGCCACATTACAAACTTGACTGATAGATTTCAGTCCCCACCAAAGATAGGACCAGACACATACACATACACGCATTACACTAGTCACACTAGTATTCCAATATAAAAAAAACTTCATCTTTTCTAAAATCACCGACCGAAAATATTTCACAGTATGACATTTGAGAAGTACTAAACATCGATTACTTCGTAGTCTGTGACTCTCTCATTGTTTATCCTAAGCACTTCATAAGAAATTTAAA